AACGGCGTCGGGCCCTGGGCGCGCAAGGCCGGCGGCGGCGAGCGCGAGAACGAGCTCCGCGCCATCTTCGACCTCTTCGACGTCGACCGCGCGGGCGCCGTCGACCTCCGCGAGCTCGCCGACGCCGTCAACGAGGGGTCCAGCGCCCTCGCGGGCAACGAGGACTGGCCCGCCCTCGCCGGCGCCCTCTTCGACCACCTCGCCGCGCTCGAGCGCCGCGCGGCGCCCGGCGGCAAGGCGCGCGTGTCCTTCGACCAGTTCGCCGACATCGTCCAGAGCGCCATCTCCACGCGGGACTAACACGGGGAAGTTTGCGCGCCTGAAGCGCGCGCGGGCGAGCATGAGGCCCCGGGTATTAGCCTCGCAAAATTCACGCGTACCTGCTCTCGACGGCGGCGCCCTTCGAGCACGGCTTGTATTTCGAGTCGGAGGAGCACGGCTTGTAGTCCTGGGCGAGCGCGTCGAAGCCGGCGAAGGCGCCCGCCGCGTCGAAGGTGAGCTCGTAGACGGAGTCGTAGTCGTCGCTCTTCCAATCCGGGATGGATTTCGTGGGCACGCCGAGGTCCGCCGCGAGGTATTGGATGTTTTCGTGCTCCCAGGCGACGAGGGTCACCGTCTCCGCGCGCGCGGCTTCCTTGATCGCGGCCGCGGCCGCGGCGTTGCCGCCGTTGAACTCGTGGCCGTGCGCGAAGGACACCGTCAGGTTCAGGTGCTGCGCGATGGGCTCCACCGTGAGCCAGCAGCGCTCGCACTCGGGCGGCTCGCGGTACTGGTCCGCGAAGATCTTCGTCGGCGTCGCAAAATGGTGCTTCTTCGACGTCTCGCCGTCGAAGATCTCCGGCAGCACGTTGGCTCGTTCCTGCCCCTGCGGACTGAGGCAGCCGCCGCTCCACGTCTTCTCGCCGTGCCTGATGATGTAGACGGTATGGTTCGTGTCGGCGGCGGCGGCCAGGCACGCGCCCAGGGCTGCGAGAAGGAGGTGCATCGTGGTTGAGAGGGCCGCGTTTAGGCGGCGCATTGCGAGAAGCTTTTGCCACTTCTTGGCTTGAAGCCTCCTTTGAACCAAAGTTACTGCCACCTAGCTCGTGCTCCGCGGTGGGCAGCCCTCCGTCTTCGGACCTGCACGCACGCGCGATGATGCTGCGCGCCGGCGCCGCCCTGCGGCCGCGCCTGGCGTCGGCGCGGTGCCTGTCGTCGCGCGAGGAGTGCCACGAGCGGCTCGCGACGAAGCAGAAGGGCCACGTGAAGCCCCTGAAGACGAAGCAGAAGGGCGTCGACATCCTGCACGACCCGCTGTGGAACAAGGGCATGGCCATGGACTACCCGGAGCGGGACCGCCTCAACCTGCGGGGCCTCGTGCCGCCGCGCGTGAAGACGCTCGAGGAGCAGGCCGCGCGCGTCATGGCGCAGCTCCGGGGGGACTTCGCCGACGACGACGACGGCCGCCTGCGGAAGAACAAGTTCCTCCAGGAGCTCCACAACCGCAACGAGACGCTCTACCACCGCGTGCTCGCGGACAACATCGCCGAGCTCGCGCCGCTCGTCTACACGCCGACCGTCGGCGCGGTCTGCGAGAACTTCGGGGCCCAATTTCGCCGCGCGCGGGGCATGTACTTCTCCGTCCAGGACCGGGGCCTCTTCTCGTCCATGGTCTGGAACTGGCCCCACGACGACGTCCACATCATCGTCGTCACCGACGGGTCGCGGATTTTGGGGCTCGGCGACCTCGGCGCGCACGGCATGGGCATCCCCATCGGGAAGCTCGCGCTCTACTGCGCAGCGGGCGGCATCGCGCCGCACCGCGTCATGCCCGTCATGCTCGACGTCGGCACGAACAACGCCGCGCTCCTCGAGGACGACGACTACCTCGGCGTCCAGAAGCCGCGGCTCGAGGGCGACGAGTACTTCGCCATGGTCGACGAGTTCATGTCCGCCGTCTTCGAGCGCTGGCCCGACACCGTCGTCCAGTTCGAGGACTTCGAGTCGTCGAAGGCGCAGCCGATCTTGGACAAGTACCGCCACACGCGGCGCTGCTTCAACGACGACATCCAGGGCACGGGCTGCGTGACGCTCGCGGGCGTGCTCGCCGCGGGCCGCCAGGCGGGGCTCCGGCTCTCGGAGATGTCGTTCCTCTGCGCGGGCGCGGGCTCCGCGGGCCTGGGCGTCTGCCTCCAGCTCGTCGACGGCATGGTCGCGGACGGCCTGAGCCGCGAGGAGGCCATGAAGCGCTTCGTCATCTGCACGTCCGTCGGCGCCATCGGCCGCGCGGACGGCGCGCACGGCGACCCGAACGCGGCGCGCGGGCTCAGCGCGGAGCGCGAGATCTGGGTCAACGACGCCGTGAGCGACGGCGCGAGCCTCGAGGACGCCGTGCGCGAGTTCCGGCCGACGTGCCTCCTCGGCCTCGCCGCGCAGCCG